AAACTCGTAGATTAATACTTATTAATATAATGTATTCTCATTGTTTAAGCATAAAGCATCGATGGTCGGATGGCCGAGCGGTTAAGGTGTCTGCTTACTACTCTTAGGGACCGGAACAGATCAGAGTCGAATTTTGCGAGTGGTCCGTTCCGAATATGTCTAGCTTCATTCCTCAACACCCGGTCGCACCTATTGTGGACCTGCGAGAAACACGATGGGCTAGATTAAAACAATCAAGATACGATAAAGCCATTTTAATCAAGCCTACATAGTTGACAGTTTTGCCCCATAATAAACTTAACTGTCAGCTATATAACCTATAATATGCTGAAGCCTCGCAATAATTAATTAATTAAAGTTTACGAGCATCATTTTAATTACTTTTAAGCGAATTACAGTAAAATATGTTTAAAGCGGAAACCTGACATATATTAAAGCCTTTTTAATTTTATTTTTATGGACAATGGAGGAATGGCAAAAGCGAGTTCTCTTGAAAAAAACCGGAACAAGAAGGATTAAGGGTTGTGTAGCCTTTCTTAGTTTGGTTAATTTATTCGTGGTGACCCACACGTGGGCGATCTGCCGAGAGGGATGATATAATGGTTTCGAGAACTGTCTAGTCCAACAGACTAAGCAGTTCTGAGGAACCGTTCTGTCAGGTATGGGCCGGAAGGTGGCCCTTTCAGTAGAGGGCACAAAAATACGAGTTTTTACCCCAAAAAAGGTGAAATAAACAGGCGAGCAGTATCTGCACATAGGGTGCCTTGTTGTACCGATAATATTAAGTGTATCTTGTAATGTCATGTAATTTCTTACTCCGAGTATTTTGTAAGATGTGTGTTTTTTATTCGATGTTTTATACGTTCCGTCCAAATAGTTCCGCATTCGGAATAGTTCCAACAGTTTCAGTTCGAGAAGCGAATAATTAAAGCGGATCAGTTTAAACAGTTTCAATTTTAAAAGCGAATCAGTTCCGGAAGCTGAAGTGGAGGCGCTGTAAATCATCTGTACTACAGATGATTCACAGCATATTGATACACATATGTGAAAAGTATATCTGGGAAGGATCTATGGAGATATTGGGACGACCGGCGTTAATAATTTTATGCACTCGGCCACTAGTGAGCTTGATTGCTTCGGTTATTCGGCCATTAACAACAATTCAATTATTATAAACGCTTTCAATTTCATATTAAATAAGATCTCCAAATATATTATTTTATAATACCAATGGAATAAATGCGTAAAAATAGAATCTCACAAAAACGAAAAGAATCAAACGAAAGCAAAAACAAAATTTCTCTCGTTTCCTCAGCCGAATTGTCGTTCAATTCGGAAATCTTCCTAATTGTTATTTTTAATTATTTTTTTTATGTACAGATTAAGAAAGGCTAACTTGGAGTCATCTCTCAGCATACGCCGTTAACTGAAGCTTCCTGACGAGTACGTCTCATTCTTGTGTTTCCTTCTAGACGGCTCTCTTACTACCAATATTATTGCATCTGGATTGGAATTGATCCAGGCTTCCAATTCTTATTATTTTAACTATTTTCGTTACGAAAAACATCCAGAGATAGATGAATATAGTCATTCCTAGTATTACAGTATGACGCTGGTTAGCTGAAGAGATGAAAACCCCGGATCTAATAAACTTGAGTTCGAATTCAAGTTGAATTTTCAGAAATTTTAGAAATCGAGCTAGGGACAACAGAATTGGAGATCGGTAACGTGACGTAATGTGGTTCTATTCACGGAGTAAATATACTGTATTTTCTCTGTGGTTCTACTGTTCCGATGACAATTCAACAAAGATACAGTTGTAACAGTATCTTTATACAGGATGTGCTTGTAAGTTGTTGTTTTGTGGTATGGTAAAACTTAGCTAGAATGTTAAGTACAGTATGTCTGCTAATAAGAAGCCGAAAAGAAAGTGCTAATTTAAACATGAATGGGAGACTATTTATTGTTGGATAAAGAAATCATCTTAACAACAGGATTTTTATGTTGCCGTAAAGGATTTTCAGTAAATTACGGTAGCGAAAATGGTGTTAAACATGTCATGGAAAAAGTTACATGAAAAATTTAGATAGATTGAAAACGAAGTATTGACAAAATTATTTTACAAACAGCAATTAATAGTTGAGTCATTTTGATTAACGAGTGCTAGCACTTGAAGCTATTTATGTTTGCCATGCCGCTTTTAAAAAAATTGGATGATTAAAATTGCTGTGAAAAATGGATGTCATTCTTCTAAGATATAGGGATCAACTATTTGCCACACCTAAAAAAATTTCTTCAATTTTCAATTGGCATCAGTTAGTAATGCAGAAGAAACAGAAAAAAAATTTATTGTTATGGGTAATGCCTGCGATATGAATAACAAATGCAGTATAGAACTAATGACAGCTAAACTTTTTAACTATTTCTGCCCTGTGGTCACTAAGAGGACCTTTTATAACAAGCGATTGGGGGTTCGATCAGCTATAATGAGGAGAGCCCGACACATCCAGTTAGATCATCCCCGAAAAATTTCTGGAGGTTTGGCCGGTACAAATTTTGGTCAGGTCCCTGAGCTGTATGCTTCCTTCGTAACCATTCGGCCATCTGACCATCAATATTCAACTTTTCTTGTTATTTTTATTTTACATATAGCTGATATTTTTTACATTGAGAAATGCCAGTTCTCCGCATAACCGTTTTTGCTGGCGCGATGGCCTTTTAGTAAGATTTTTTAGCAATTAATTAATCTTTGTAAACTAAAAATATCCAATATGAATAAATCAAACACTTAAATAAATTCAAAACAGCTGTTAATAAATACTGAATATCATCTAAAAACTTCTGCAATGGTTTGCAACGTTTCAAGACTGGGACGGGATAGTCTCAAACCTGAATTTCCCTGACATTACCTCTAAAATTTTCTTTAAAGAAAAATTCCCCACACCAATGATTAGAGACTATAGCACACTGACGTCATGTTGACAGTGTTGTCAATTTTATCCTGGCACTATTTACAAATTGCCACGTAATACTAGAAATGCAAGAAAAATATCAAATCTTAAAAGTTTTTGTTTGCTTCTTTTGTTTCCTGTAAAGACTAAAGAACTATAATGGACGAGACTAAAAATACTATTCCTTATTTTCGTATATAAAAATGTTGCATTAAACATTGTTTCATAATTTATGATTTTACGCAATCAAAGCTATTTCAAAGTATAAAATTTCTTGCTATTTTAAACCATTTGTTCCATTTTTTCTTAACTTTTTAAAATTCCCTAGTTTGGGGGACATTGCCTAGATACCACGGTTTAAATTTTTGAATTGAATGTCCCAGAGAAAAAATCTCATTTGAACGTCTCAATTTTAACAGTACTCTATCTGGTAACCCTATCCAAGAGACCTCTTTTTTGGACAAGCGAAATCTATAATGGGTATAATAGATGTCTTTTTTTTTTTTGCTTGTAACGCCCTTTGCCTACGAAGAAGAGTTAATAAGTACGATTAACTAAGGTAAAGTAAGCGCGGCTCACTTTTACGCCGCTATCTGAAAACATCGAACTTTTATGACTTGTAAAATCTTTTTTTGGATACCTGGACCACGTTTCGTTTTTTCCGCCAATGTTAGTTAATTTCATTGCTTATATCAAGTAAAACAGGAACAAGCATTATTTTTCCTGAGAATTCCCAAAAAATTTCTTACCATTCAGGTGAATTGAATGTTTATAATTACTTCCTTAATGATTAAAGAGCTGATTCAGAAACTAAATCAATTACAGGCCCATTTTATTTTTTTAAATTAATTTTTAAACGAATTTAACAAAAATGATTATTAATTTTAACATTGAAAATAGTTTTGTTCATACATTAACAGTGTTTATATTAATTATATAAATCGTAAAAATGGCTACTCTTTTTTTACCCTTTTTTTTCTAAGAACTTAATAACATTAATAAGAAAAATGATTACAATGACAAAAACAAAATTTACTAATTTATTAAAACATTCAAATTTGAATACAGTTATTAGTGAAACTTTATGGATACGATTATTTAATCGAACGGCTGAAACGGTTACGCGTCAGCTTACTTCTCTGAGGACACAGCGAAAATTTTTCAAAAGTGATCTATTCGGGTTATGTCGGGCCCGTCCTTCATCACCCGGCCGCCTCCGTTGTAGATTAGGCCTAACCAATGATGAATATGATTAAAAATTTTCAGTGCTTAAAGGATACAATCAAAAATAAAAAAAAGATACTCAATAAGTACGTATAACAATCTTGAATAATAAGGTTTTACTTTCTTGGCTTTCAATACTTTTCCTTACTATGTATACATAACAAGGGAAAGTATTAGAATCGTGTCAAATTTGACCTCCGAGATTTTTGCAAATCTCCATGTTTTGAGACTTTCGGAACTCCAAAAAGTAAAAAAAGGCAAAAAAAGTCATGGTTTTGTGTGTTGGCATTTGTTTTGTTTAATATCTCAGAATGGGATAAAGATTAAGAAACGAAATTTGGTCACGGTAGCTTTGCGTATAATGGCAGTGATGCTATTAAAAGTCGAGGAGAGGGTGAGATAGAGGGCAAACACGTGTCGTATCTCGAGTGGGATCAGACTCAATAAAGATTTTACTCGTTGTTAACAGCGATTTTTTAATATATAAAAAAAAATTTATTTTCAAAATTAAGCATTTTGTCATTTTATAATAATAAAAAAAAATATAGAAACTTTTTATAACAAAATCTCGTAACATGTAGCGCCACACACAATTTCATATATTTAATACGATTAATAATATAAAAGTTATTTTTAAATAAAATCCGATAAAAGGCGGAAAAGTTACATAACTTTTTCTCAATAAACCGTAATTATAATAGTAAATTAATATAATTAGTACAAATAGAATAATTAATAATATAAAACAAATCGACAAGAATGTCATTAAAGACAAAATAAATAAATAAATTTTAATCGGGCAGACGATAAAATTCATCTCACCAGGTGTCTCCCTTTAGTTTTCTTCAGAGGTGGAAATTGCATCCGCCCCTTACAGCACCGAGTCGCAGTGTTTACGAGTGTCGGAGGAGGAAAACCGGATAAAAAAAACATGGATGCAACTACAGAGAATCCGCCCCAAGATGCCACACGCCGTCTCCAACCCAAAAAGCAGACGTTAGACGATGCATACGCGGCTCCAGCGAACTTTCTAGAAATCGATGTAGTCAATCCTATGACTCATGGCGTGGCAAGGAAGAGACACACCGACTACGAAGTTCGAATGAGAGTGAGTATAACGCGTGGTCAATGTTAATTAAATGCTAATTCGCCCGCTTTACGCATAATTAAGCCGTGCGTAACTGTTTAAAGAGTGGGAATGTAAGCCTAAGTCCCGTGTTACGTGTCGTCTGTTACTCGAACGTATGTAATTAGATTACTGGACGTTAAAAATCGCCGTTAAGTTGCGTGTTATAAACGTAACTTGCTTATTTACGACGGAATTTAATTGGGAATGAATTAATTTTCGTTGAAAATTTAAATTACTGCATTGGGTGCCTATAATGTGAAAGTAAACATAACTGCCCCTTTTAACACAGTGTGTGTTAAATACAATGTACAATTACAGCAAATTACAGCTAAAATAAAAAAAAACCCTCTAGTGCAGTGATTCCCAAACTTTTCCGAGCCACTGCCCCCTTGGTTCCGTAAACTTATATCCAATGCCCCCAATTATACCCCAACACCTCTAACCCATTTAATCTTGTGTGAGAAAGGCTTGGAAATATTCTTAAAAAAACTTTTCTATGCTATACTTATCATACATTGTTTTCCACATCTGGAACCATTAAATGCAATGTTTCTTATCCATTTTAACAGAGGAAAGGTGGTCAGTGACCCAACCCTCTCCTATGGTTACTGTTCAGTACCATGCAGTACTCCACTTGCTTGTTTTTGCTCCCTCAGATTTACTCACTGTGCAGGGGGCGGTAGCATCCACTTTGGGAACCCACTGTTCTAGTGTGATGCATTACACCCGTAAATACTTGTCAAATTATTAAATGTGATTGCCAGATTAATTGGGTTACTTTACCTGCTACTATTGGATATATATTGAATAATTTGGTACTAGAGGTAGGCATTATGTGTTATCTCATATTATAATTAATATTTATTGAGTTTAGAATGTTCTGGAAGAAAAGAATTGACTCGAACCTGTAACTGCTGCTTACCGTGCAGATGCTTTGCTGGTTACTTTGACGTCTGCCATGGCACTCTGCTGGCTATTGCTTTACCCCGGTCTGATGTGTATATACATATATAAATATCTGAAAATCTGATAAGCCAAATGATTGCCTGATTAATCTTGTAATTGCTTGGTTTAATATAAATATTGGACTTGGAAGAAAAGGTGGTTTTTTTTAATATTTCGGCTAGTTTTAGTTTTTCTATTTTTCTTATGCAAAATCTCAAATGTTTTATCAACTCCATTAAAATTTCTCTCTTGATTTGATAGAGCAATGTTTAATAAGAAGCAGAAGTAAGTGTGTAATATATAAAATATATATTTTTTAATATTTTGCAGTGTTTATAGAGAATGTTCAATAGAACAAATCTTGTATGAAACTTGTTTAGATGTCTTGCTTTAAAGTCGTCTTTTTAATTTTCTGCTTGAATGAGATTGTATTTCGCTGCCTATTTGTTTTACACTACTAGGTATTATTTGACGTAATTTTATGCATTACATAAAATCTGAAAATTCAAAATATTGGCATCTTGTAATTTGAGATAAATAATAGAGCATAATTTATGTTTAGTCTGTAGCCAGAAGGTTGTGCTATTTTTGAAAAGTTATATAAATTTATTAAAAATTAGTTATACCAATGTTTAAACATTGGAATAACTAATTTTTATTACTTGCAGTAATTGAATTTTCTTTCCCTTTTAAAGAGATTTATACTTAAAGTGGTATAAGGTATATTGTCCTTACCTAATAATTTGCATAATTAACTTAGATGAGCTTATTCAAGTTTAATTGAATATAACTTCTTTAATGATAGAAATTCAATGTATGTCAGGCTTTAAAATTTTTTTCCTGCATTGTTAAGAATAAATGTTTTTATTTGGATGATCAGCAATACTTGTATTTTACATATAAATTAGCTAAAGTATATGGCATTGAAATAGTTTTTATATCAGATTATTTAATATTTTTAATTCAAAATAGTTTAATATGGAATTGGATTGTGAAAATGTGTTATCTATTGAATTTTGTTGTTTTAAAGTAGCATACCAAGCTATATAATTGTGTGTATCAATAAATTTAAAATGTCAATAGCACATGTTAGCTGTTATATGGAAAATTTTAATTTCTGTTTAACTAAGATTGTTGAATGAAGTGTAATAGTTGCAGATGCAATCTGTGAAACAAATTCATCACTATTTACAATCTTTGATTTTACTCTTTCGATTGCAATAAATTGACATTGATGGAAGTTGTGTTTAAGTACGGTTATCATGATTTGATAAGGTCACATTCAAATTAGATAGGACTAACTGTAATCAATGGAGGAAAGGAAGTGCAATCTTAGCACTTCTGCCCTCTTAATTTGGTCTGTTTGTATTTTCACTTTTCTCTTGTGGTTTGTTCTCAAAGTTTTTCTATTAGATTATCTTAATTTGATGTCGTCCTGTTCCTTTTATCTATTTACATTGTCTAATATTTATGATCTTGCATTTGTATATTAATCATAACTGCTTTAAAGCTAAATTTTAATATTGCGTGCAAACTTATGAGAAAATAGGCTTTTGAGATAAGATTAAAAAAATTGCCCTTGATAAATGATACCAGAACCTATAAATTATCAGCTTAATCAGCAAAACAAATGCTCTTCTATCTAACCAGTTCATTTTATTTTATGTAATGGAAAAAATTAATCTAATCCTCCTTTATAAGATGCAATTTGCTTCTTATTTGGGTGAAAAATTTATGTTCTCTGTTGTGTTAACTGTTTATTTTGATGTAATATTTATTTTTTTATAGTGGCACCATTAATCTGTTTATTTAATCTTGTTATTATGCTAGCAGGCTTTTTATCTTTCATTTAAACAAATGAAGGGGGGAACTAGCATAGCAAAGAACAAAGTTTGCTATCAGGGTGTGAATCATGTATGAATAAAAATATAAATTGTCGTAAAAATAACTGCCAATTCATTGTACAAAGTTCATTCATGTTTGTTTATCCTATACTGCTGAATTATGAAAAACTACTAATACATTTTAAACTGGATTATAATACTGTCTTAAATAACAGGATGCTCTTTTTATCACATTGGATGCCATAAAAATTGGACTTTCCTTCTTAAATTTGATTACTTGAAATGCATTTTGGATTTCCCAAATACAATACCCCTCTTCAGTCTAGTCATTTCAAAATTACTATTTAAAAAATACTTTAGCATCAAATCCATTAATTGACAATCTTAGCTATTATTTGAAAATTCAAATTAGCCTTTAAAATTTCAGCTTCTAAACATCTGTAATGACACCTCGCCTAATGGTTAATCTTCTTTAACTGGAAAGAACCTCCAGATACAACATCCTATGGGTGAAAATAGGATTACAATCAATTTTAGTGTTTTTAGAAAATGGAAGATATCTTAGAAATGAGATTTGTGTGCAGAATTAACCTATTATAGTGCAAAATCAAACATGTTCAAATTAATCCGTGCTGTTTGTACATTTGGTTTTACTTTTAAATGGTTTATTCCTAGATGAGAGAAGATTTATTTGATCACATCCATAAAGTTTTTAATTGCATTTATAACAAGTCAGGATACTTGGCATGTCCATTTTTACCATTGAACTTCATTCGGAATACAGATAACAGAATAAAATTCATTTTTTTATTTTGACATTTTTCTTTCCTCTAATTTCTTCATTTATTTATAATTTAAAGATTTGTTACTTATTTTTAAGCATTCTGAACCTGGATTAAGGATAAGCTATTTGCAAAAACTTGGTACTTGCAGCAGACAATGCAAAGATGGCGGTTTGAGTGTATTGGATTCTTTGTAATGCAATAGTAACACTGTCATAATTTTAATACTACACTGCAATGAATGAATGTATTACAAGTACCATATTAAATTTTATATATTATCCTATATGTTGTATTTCCAATATTCTAAACTGGAAATGATTTCAAAATTGAAAGTTGAGGTAAAATAATACATCTTGCTAGTTACAAATGCATACTGATTTGTTGTTGTACAGTACTTTGGGATGTTAAAATATTAATTAAATGGACAAACAATTGAAAATTAGAATGAAAATTTGTTTTAAAGCCATTTTTTCAGGAATTATGAAATAGCCAATTAAATTTTGCATAATCTGTTCTGGTTAAAACAAGCTTATATATGAAAACATAAAATGAATGTAAAATAAAAATAGTATAAACATTTACTTGTAAAATCTTTCTTTTATCTAATCTTAAATGATTTTTTGAGTGTTTACTGTAAAAATGCAGAAAGATTTATCACGAATAGAAATTATCAGACAGTAGATAATTTTGGGTAATGTAAAAGTGTTTTTATATAAAGCCTATATAATGATTCTTGAACATATATTGTATGTGTGCACACACATGAAAAACATTGTTTATATACATATATAAGAAAGTTGTAGCCCTTATTTCTACACTCCATTTAATATCATAAATTATCAATTTTAAAATAGAATCTTTATTTCAAAGTATTGGATGTATGTACATCATCAAAAAAGTTAAGAGGTGCTGCCATTTTTCTCAGAGTAATTTTAGTTATTTCTATTTACTATTAAACCTAAATATATATAACTCCAAAATCTGGAAATATAATGATTTACAGTTTAACTCTTAATTAATAACTGTCATTCTATGAACCAAATGTATTTTTTTTAAAAAGTACAAAAATTCCTCTGCAGTGGGCTATGCTTGTGGCTTGGCCAAGTGGTGACAACTTTTTTGATAGTTTGCCTGTAATGCCATTTTGTTCCCAAAAGCTCCTTTACGATTACACTGTATAAATTGAATTTAAAAAATTCAATGCTGTCACTTTGTAGGATTTGTCCTTAAATTAGTCTGAGGTTTCTACAGATTCATTTTAGGTGATACTTCTCTCTGCATCAGTCTACCCATGTTTTCATGAGTAGACTGAGGCTGGTATTTCTTCCTTGCATGATGAAAAGAAAGTATTAAAATCTGAATTTTTAAAAAGGAAAGCATAATCAAATGAGTTGTGAGTTGGAACAATTTGGCAAATATTCTATTTATGAAGTTAGAAAGCATAATCAGAAACATAATAGTAATGAGGCCTGTCTAGCTTGTAATAATTCTTTTGAGTGCTACTGCAGGCCATATTTTTTATAGATTAATTTAAATCAGCTTCTAATTATTAAATTTAGTATGAAATTGCACTTAACATTAATATCAGATTATGTTGATTGTTGCATAAAAGTGCTAATATTAGAGATTGACTTATAAGTTCTTACCATGCATTCTTTTACAAAACAAAATCCTATATTATTATTTAAAGAAACCATCTAATGAAGCAATTTATTAACAGATACCTGTCTTAAGTGGACAGTTTCTGATATGGAAAGTTCATTAAACTATGATTAAATTTTAATATAAATTAATTTTACAAAACATTGCCAGAAATATTGAAAATTATAAATTTAACAATAAGCATGTATAACAAACAATAAAGAACCTTTAAAATCCAGTAACAAAAGATTGTTTAATAAAAACTTCTAATGAATGTTTTTGACCTTAACCAAGGTCTGCTTCAGGTTTTGAACCAATGAAATTCCAAATTGGAATGTGTAGAACAGAATATTTTTAAAATTTGGAACAAACATATAACATATACAAAAATGAAATGGTATAAAATATAAAAAACTTTTTTATTTAAAAATATTTTAAAAAATTTTTTAGGATATAACTTAATAGCAAATAATAAAGTTAATTTGTCAGCTTTGCCAGGTTTTTCATAAAAGTACTGCATGCATACAATACAGTGTTACCATCCATAAAGTTAATGCATTTGCAATTCAGGACAGCCTTGTCTATTTCTAAGGTCTTAATATGATCCATTTGGAAGGATTGCCTTCTTAACCTTGATATTTTGGAGGTCAAGGTCAGTGGCATAAGGTGATATGCCTTTTGTTTACAATGTCATAACAATGTTCTTGCATCCTTTTTTGTAGTAAGCATTTGATGGAACCAATGTAAACTATAAATCCTTTTGGAACCTGTTTTTCCTCACAGGAACACTGTAAAACACCTGGGCCTCTACGTTTGTCAATTTTGTTCTTCTTGTTGTGTAATAACTTGTATATTGTGTGGGACTTCTTGTAAGCAATTTTGGTACCTGTAAGGCCAGCAATTTTTTTATATGTGTAAATATTGGTTATACTCTATTATAGTATGCCTGGAGTTAGAGTTGCAATACTATTGTTGGAAGTTCCTTGAGTGTTGGAAGTGTTGTGCATGGCTTGTTGGTTGGAGTAGGTGAAGGATAACTACATATTGGGTCCCTTTTATATCCATGTTTTAGTGCTATTATAGTGTCCTCCCAATTAGTATGGTGTGTAAAGGCTTGTAAATCGTACATCCCGCATTTCCACTTGCAGTGGATAGCATTACTGCTCGCTTGTGGATGTTCCTGTTTTAGGACTGCTATTTTTTTTATGAAGACTTTGGTGATTGCATAATGTCACGAGGAATCAGGCCTGCTAAGATCTCTGGACCTCACTCCCCTGGAAGATATTTCCAGCATTTGTATAGGATAAATTGCAATATTGTACGTAAAACTTTTTCCATTGCACAGTAACTTTTCAAGCATCCTGTACCAGACCCATTATTAATTTTACTGTTAGGTGATTTGAATTACTTTAGATATTTTACATTTATAAGTCACATCTATTGCAAATTTTGTTACTACAAGCAAATTTTTTTGATGAACGAGTAAGATTTTAGTAGACTTTCTCATTGTGTGAAACTTAAAGGAAACTTTTTTCAATGGGTTATTGTAACTTACTGCATGTTGTTAAATTATTTTATGAATTTTTAAAAATTTTGCTAAGTTCTGTTAGTGTAAAGACATCATTTAGTTAATGTATCAGAGAACCAGATGTGACAGATGTTATCCACAATGTGTAATTGTTTAGAAGTAATTTTTTAGTTTGTGTTAGTTTTTAAGAGAACTTGTTTTGAAATCAACATAAAAGTCTAAACCTAATCCCAATTATTTTAAATTCAAAATATGTTGAAAAAATATGCAGTCATATTAATCAACTTGTTAAATTTTTGAAATTTAAGCTGCTTTGTATGTGTTTTGGTTTGTATTGGAAAACAGTTTCGTTTTCTGTCAAATTAAAGTTACAGGAGGAAAATTTTTGAACAGTTCCAAGTATGACTCACAAGTTAGATTTTCCATAATGTTTTTATTATTAACTTTGCTGCTTCCCCCTTTATCACATTCATTTTTACAGTAAACAGTTGTAAACAATGTATTAGGGCTTATCAAACACAAGCAACCAAATATTTAAACTATTATTTAAATTCGGTTACAATAAAATGGTTGTAATGGTAATTTAAAATACAAAAATTTATGGTAATAATGGTAATTTTCAATGATTATTCCCAGTTTAACAATAAAATTGAGATTTTTTTTCTTGTGCCTGCTGTGGTTTTTTCCAAGTGTACAGTGGGGAGACTGGGCCCCATCATCCATGAAAAATTCTGGGGTTGCTCACAAGAATTAGATTGTAAATTCCCAGAGCAATGGCTGATGACTGGATGGTATGGTTAAAGCATTGTATGGAATTCTTGATAGGTACCGTACATGTCTGTTTTTAGGATCAGTTTAATAGTGAATTTATTTTTAATGAATAAATTTTTAATTAGAAACAAAACACTGTATTACTCCTACTGCTTTTTGTTTAAATATAATTATTAATAGTTTAATAAAAGGTTGCCAAATGTGTAATTTAGAAATAAAAATTTTAATGGAATGATGTGACCTTTGTTGGTCCTTTCCTTCAGCATTATTAATCCAACTTTCCATGGGGTCATTTTTTCTGATTTTGGTTTCATTTTTCCAACTGTGTGTCCTGTTACCTAATTATATTCAGTATGAATTTTATTGGCCGATGTTACTTTCTCTGGACTGGTTAGACCAGTATTTCTCAATGGGGGCGATATCGCCCCATGTGGGCGGTTTTCCATGTTGAGGGGCGATTAGTAACAATTTATATTTTGGGGGCGAAAAACAATTTTCTGGGCGATATAGTAAAACATTATATTAAGAATAATTAGATATTTTATTCGTTATATTGTACAATAATCAAACAAATAACATTATACTAGTGACTAGTCTATTTAATGCAGTATGAATTTGGCATTAACCTTGGCCCTCGGCATCAGAATTTTGGAGTGAAGGGGGTGATACTACGTAATGGTTTTATTGAAGGGGGGCGACGATTCGTTAGAGGTTGAGAAACGCTGGGTTAGACCAATGATGCATAAATTTTGTTATGTCTCCCTTTATAGCCACTTTGCTGTTTGTGGTCCTTCAGACTCATCTTTCGGGAATGCATGCCAGGTTTTATACATTGATTTAGTAGCACTTGAAAATTCTGTCTCTCCTCTGACCAGATTACTATGTAAACTGATGAGGACCAATGTAAAGGCCAAAAATGCATACTGGGATTTGAAGTGATTAATAAAGATTTCTGTGATGTGTGATTAATTCATATTTAATGGTTATAATAGCTGACTTTAATAATTATTTCAATGTTTAATTGGCCTCAAATTAAATTCTATCAATAGTATTAAATACTACATATCAATTTCATTATGGGTGTGGCCAGGCCCACAGAGACAACTTGGTGGATGATGAGGGGGGAAACATTTCTGGATTGAACAGGTCGTGATGCTTTGAATATCTGACTGGGACTCAAGCTGTCTAGAAGCTGCACGTATCTGTAAAGATTAACATAAACACTTCTGTACTTTAATTAAGAATTAATCATACTTATTAAATATATACTCATTTTACTGCTTGTTTTAATGGCTATTTTTTTTATTACAGACAAATCTGCCAGTTTTCAAAATGAAAGAATCCAGTGTTCGTAGACGCTATAGTGATTTTGAATGGTTGAGAAACGAATTGGAGAGAGATAGTAAGGTATGTAAAGTTAAGAAAATTAAAATGAGTTCCTTACTCCTTCAAAAGAAAATTTTAAAATTTAAAGTATGGTTTACACATTTAATATCCTATTTGTTCATTAAAACATTGACTTAATCGTTTATTCAGTTTTTAATTAGTCATTTGATTACAGTTTTCTTAAATATAAAAAAAAAAATTCTCTAAATTGTTACGTTATTAATGATTTTTGAATAGTTAAATTTATGTAGAGGAGTGCTTTAGTAAAGATGAGGACAGATTGGATATATTGTAGAATAAATAAGATTAATGAAATATTAAATATTTTTTGTTTAACCAAACTTACAATAAATATTTTTGTTGTTTAACTGGCTTAGTGACTGATGTGTTTTTAAATATTATATACCAATTATTGAGGTATTTAATATGTATATGAATGGTGTTCCACAGCCTCAGAAGTTTGAGGACCACTGCACTAAGCTAATGACACAGTAAGCATGGCTGGCACCAAACTCATGCTATTTCTGCAAGATTAAGAATAAAGTTCAAATAAGATAAGGCTGTTAGTTGTATTAATGTGAATTGCTGGGAAATCTGTTTTATAAGGCATTTCTTCATTAATTTTACTGGCATTTTTGATGACAGCTAAATCATTGCTGAGACAGTTAATGTTGCCACCTGCAATGAAAAAGTCCTGAAAACAAATTTGTTGGTGGATGTATAAAAGTATTTTTTCCAAATACAAAGTTTTAGCTACCAAAAGATTTATACAAATGTCTTTGCTGTCTAACCTATTTACAATTATAGAAATAGAATTTTTGAATTTATATATAAATTGATGTAACAAATGGTGATTACTATTGAAATTTCTAATTTTATTCATAATTATTCAGAATGTGTGTGAGATAGGGAGATGTAAAAGTAGGTATACAATTGTGAATCTGAGAAATAATGCATGGTGCTGTGGTTCAGAGTTGTTTATTTTTAGTTTTATTATTTTTCATCCCTCATTTGTGATTTGTGTAAGAATTTTTTTCCCCTTCTGTAATAAAAACTGCATGCTACTTTTGTTCTCCTCCATATATTATAAATTTTAAATGAATAGTGAAGGTTACAATATAATATGAATTTTAAATGTGTATTTGCATTAGATGGTGATTAATCAGTGTGTTGCAACAGTTGGCTTTTTCATATTCTGAATTTATTACTTTCATAAGTTGAAATAAGGAAATACTTTTAAATTTATCAGCTTTAAACATTTTAATTCTTAGAAATTATACAGAGGGTTTTTTACAAGAAATCAATTAGTTTACTTTGTGAGGAACTTTAAGATTTAATTGCATAGGTGTTATTTCATTTACTCTTAATGTTTAGTCATTATAAAAATTACTTAAATTAAAGCAAAATTAAATTACTAATTATAATTATTTTTATCAGATATTAAATGATTTCCAAACACTAAACAATTATTAAAGAACTTTAATTTGCTAGTATATAGCAGAATTTAATCAAAACTTACTACAATATTAATTCTGTAATTTGTTTTATCCTTTATTACTAATTTATTTCATAAGACATTGTTTGAAAACTGATGTATGAAGGGGAAGCAAACAATTACAATCAAGTTGTAAATTGTAGTTGTTAGTCAGTAAAAGTTTTTATCTTGATCTCAAATTGTAGAGTTGAGTTTGGCTCTAGTAGAAAGATCTCTCTTGAAACATTCCTTTTGTCATGCAGTTATTTTCATTAAATTATCTATACCGTTCCAAATATTTTTATTCTTGTATATTATCTTAATTTGTGATGAAATAAGTGTAAAGTTTAACCCAAATTGTTTTTTCCAGAGTGAAAATTTTCACTCCAGGAAAAAGTTTGGGTCGGATTTTACATTTGAGGAGCCTTCTTAACAAGTGAGTAAATGTTTAGCTTTAATAGTATGAGTCATTTCTTTAGTTTTGACTCCATTGGAGAATGAATATGGAGAAGCTATGGAGTAGTTTGTTTTAATATTTTATACTACTTAACTGAATAGTATTAACTTAAACATTACATACTAGCAGATCCTGCCACACATTGTTGTGGCTCAAAATGTATCTATTATAAATGTATAACACTTCCCCCGTGGGGGGAATTTTCGAAAAATCCCTTCTTAGTGTACGTACATTCTCTTGAAGTACCCTATTAAAACGCAATCAAAAATGCAAAAAACCGCATCTAAAATAGTATAAATAGAAGCAGCGTTCTTCACTGTAAGCCTTAATCTTGTCCATCTCCCCAATGGGGGGATTTCGACATGTATATTATATAAAAACATGTGTGTATTCGAATGCAACATTGTATCAAAATTTCAAAGGAATCAGTAGGAACAAACGAACATTACTTTTTTATTTATATAGATAGATAGATGATGATCTACTTTAGTTCATTCTCACAGAAAGCAAACTTAGGTCATCGTACTCGCAGAGTTAGCGCCATCTGTTGGACATAAACATTCATATAAATTAAAAGATATCATCTAGGATTAAGACTTTTAATGGAATAATATACAGGCTATGTCCACCCTGAAGTTTCATTCTAAATATTGGTGAAAGAATTTTTGAAATTGGACGAGTAGTTTCAGAGATTACCTCCTACATCCAAACTTAAACTTTACCTCTTTTTATTATAATAGTATAGTTAAATGAAGTGTTGGAAGAATAATTTTAAAGAGTATTGTAGATTAAGGTTATACAGATTTTTAATGCTTGATGTATTGAGAGCATGCAAATATTTAGGTAAATTTATTAAATTATACTACTTCGTTACAGTTATATAGGAAATATCTTACTCATTAGTATAAAGTTCAAGTAATAATGTTTTGGGTGATGGTAAGAATGAATAAACTGATAAATTTGATCTAAGGCTAAGTGACAGATTGCCATCTTGTATTAATAGCTTTAAATTAATTTATAAAATTCTGGAAGAAAAGTTTAATCCAGAGAAGTGCTCAAACCATTTATTTCAACTTATTATATGCAGGTTTCCAAAGTTGCTAGCTGTATGTCCATTTGATCTCCATTTTTTTGTTTGAAAAAGAGATTGAATTGGGATTAATTTCTAATTATTAGTTTTAATACATGATGATGATGTAACTGTCTAAATTTTGACCATATTTTAGTTTTATCACTAATGTTAGTATGAAAGTAACCTGATTTTATACATAGATTTTATTAAACATAATTATTGTGTATGAATAATAAATTGTACCACATAACAAACAAGATTAAGTAAAACTTGTAAGAAATAGCATGAGCTTAGTGCCAGCGATGCTTACTGTCATCGGCTTAGTGCAGTGGTCCTCAAACTTCTGAGGCTGTGGAGCATCATTCATATATATATTAAATACCTCAATAATTGGTATATAATATTTAAAAACACACCAGTCACTAAGCCAGTTAAACAACAAAAATATTTATTGTAAGTTTGGTTAAACAAAAAATATTTAGTATTTCATATACAGGGGTGATTGGTTAATGAACATAATCAGTTCAAGGACTGTTTGTTTGTTATCTGAATTGTTTAACTGATTATCGATTTACCATAGGTTTTTATGGGAATTTGATTAATTCATTCTGGAGACCCCAAAAAATAAAAAATATAAATAAATGTAGTAAGAAAGTATATATGTAATAATAAAAATACATATATACACAGTCTTGCATTTATATTAGTCATGTTTTTTCCATTTTTGGGGGTTAAAGAATCTGTCTAATGTCGATTGCTTTTCTCTTTCTCAAGATTTTTCCAAATTAATTAATAGCATTATTGTTGTAGAGATCCCTAAGCCTATTAATCTCAACCTGGTTTGGATGCCATTCTAAGACTGTCATTCTGACATCATCCCACTTCAAAAAATGTTTAATAGCAGATATTGACATTAATTCTCTTTTTCAGAAGAAAACATCTCACCGAGTATCTTGGCGTTCTTCTGTCATCAGATCCACTTCAGGTTTCATTATGAGCTCTTCAATGTTCTTTATTTCTCAGATGTGATTTTTGTTACTCAAGCTGCTTGAGTCTTCTTGATTATATGTATCTTTCTTAGATAAGATTGAACTGAACTGATAAGATTGAACTGATACTGTAGATCTGTTCAAGCCATACTGCCCAGCAACATCAGACATCTTTTGCCCCCTCTCTATCTTTGCTATTATACTCTTACTGTTCAAAAATAAAAACCAATGCAAAACTTAAAAGTGCCTGCCAGACAGTCTTGCAAATACCATAAAAGAATTTTGTCAGAAAAATAAAAGGCTGGAATTACAAGGGAGAGTTTCAAAGTTTGGAGGAATACTATCCACTCTGTATACTGTGTTGAGCGTCGATGTCGACGTCTCCCGTGCTCCAAAAAATTTTGAATTGTCTGAAGACAAGGGAAGACCAGTTGGTATTCATTATTTTGCATCGCTTCTTCTTGTGTTTATTCTGTGAGGTGTTCGTTAATCGATCATGTGTTCATTGTCTGAACATAAAAATCTTTTGTGAAAGTGTTTATCTGATTTGTTCGTTAACCGATCACCCACTGTACTTATTACATGGAACAGCAGTGTACAGAATTGATTATCTATTTTCAGTATATTTATTACTACAGTAGAGCCTCGATTATCCGACCCAATTGGGGACTGGGGTTGGTCGGATAATTGAAAAGTCGGATAACCGAAAAGTATGAAAAAATCCATTATTAGTGTAGTATATTATTATATCCCATGTAATTAGTATATTAGTATATCGCTATTAACCTACTTCGTGTTGAATTTTCATCGATGTTAAGCCTAACAAAAATTTTTTAAAATAATAATCGTCGCTATTNTTAATGGTATAATATGGCATTCATCAATCTGGAGTGTGCACACTGCTAAAGGTGTAAGAAAATCCGTAACATCCAAACAATTTGAAATCAGCAATTTTTTCAATTTAAAACGAACCTTATTTAGCCTATAAGCAATTCAAAGCTTTCTAGAGAAGTTCAGAAGACACTTACTTAAAAAATCCTAATGAACCAGTCAAACACCTGCAAAAAGAAAAACGAACTGGCAGTCTATATCTACTTCATAGCAGTTTGTATGCCAATGTGAACCTAGCTTAAGCACAGCAGTATTTTAAATTACAATTATTAAAAAATCAAATTATCAAGCAAATATCAAAACTGGCAAAATTCTAATTATTTTCATGTTACATATGTTTAGGATATATAAAATTTTCCTTTTTACTAAATGCATACAGATACTTGCATAATTCACATACCATATTACCAGTTTATCTTCAATATATTAATTTTTTAAATTGATATTGAACTTTAAGACACATATAAACAAACATCAGCTAACCTGAAAAAGCAACCAAATCCGAATTAATGGGATAGAAGTGGCTATAATAATAATTTAAGATAATTTGGTATCAAAGTTAGGTGCCATTTCATGCTAAATTTAATAATGATAATTTTAATTAAATAATTTAAATAAATTTGCAGATGCGTTGCCAATTAAGCTTCCCGGACCTCTGGTCCAATCTCCTCTTCCAGTATATATAAGCTTACGTTACGACCATCCATGGCCAACACATCTGCATGGTAAACAGGAGTTGCGAGTTCAAGTCCCGCTCCAGGCCAATTCTTTTCTTCCAGTTAGTTCTAAATTTATTTAAATTATTTAATTAAAAACTAACTGGAAGAAAAGAATTGGCCTGGAGCGGGACTTGAACCCGCAACTCCTCCTTACTGTGCAGATGCGTTGGCCATGGATGGTCGTAACATAAGCTTATATATACTGGAAGAGGAGATTGGACCAGAGGTCCGGGAAGCTTAATTGGCAACGCATCTGCAAATTTATTTAAATTATTTAATTAAAATTATCATTATTAAATTTAGCATGAAATGGCACCTAACTTTGATACCAAATTATCTTAAATTATTATTATAGCCACTTCTATCCCATTAATTCGGCTTTGGTTGCTTTATCAGGTTAGCTGATGTTTGTTTATATGTGTCTTAAAGTTCAATATCAATTTAAAAAATTAATATATTGAAGATAAACTGGTAATATGGTATGTGAATTATGCAAGTATCTGTATGCATTTAGTAAAAAGGAAAATTTTATATATCCTAAACATATGTAACATGAAAATAATTAGAATTTTGCCAGTTTTGATATTTGCTTGATAATTTGATTTTTTAATAATTGTAATTTAAAATACTGCTGTGCTTAAGCTAGGTTCACATTGGCATACAAACTGCTATGAAGTAGATATAGACTGCCAGTTCGTTTTTCTTTTTGCAGGTGTTTGACTGGTTCATTAGGATTTTTTAAGTAAGTGTCTTCTGAACTTCTCTAGAAAGCTTTGAATTGCTTATAGGCTAAATAAGGTTCGTTTTAAATTGAAAAAATTGCTGATTTCAAATTGTTTGGATGTTACGGATTTTCTTACACCTTTAGCAGTGTGCACACTCCAGATTGATGAATGCCATATTATACCATTAAGAGAAATTGGGCTAAATTAGTTTAAACTAAAAGCTAAACTACTAAAAACATGAAAGATTTACTTAATAGGTTGTTCTGCTCTTTAGATTTTAATAATTTTTAGAGGTTCTTTTTAGGTAATTGTGAAGTCACTCTAGATAAATGTAGATGATCCCTTTCCAAAGATAATCTTAAATTTATTTTTCAGCTTGGGAGACTTGATTCATTAAGCTGTTTCTAATATTGAAATATGATTTAATGAGCATTCTGACTTTTGGTTTTTATGTAATTATGTATGTATATGAATTTTCAGATTGTGGTACCTCCTCTTCCTGGCAAGGCTTGGAAAAGACAATTGCCTCTCCGGGGTGATGACGGCATTTTTGAGGAAGAATTTATAGAAGACAGGAAAAAAGGCTTAGAAATGTTTATTAACAAGTGAGTTTATTAAATTATACTTTTGTTAGATGTGCCAAAAGGCAGTGTAAAAAACTTGAAGGTAAATTTTAACCAATGATTTGGAATTAATAAATATTCCAAATTTAACTTCATCTTAGCTAAAATAAAAATAAACTTTGCATAATATGCTTTATGTATGATTTCTTTAAATACACGTTTTGGATTGTCAGCTCTCTTCAATCAAACTCTATTTATAAAGTTGTGTTAAAAAAGATTTAATTCATAAAAAAAAAATTGCTTTAATATAAAGAATGAATTTGAATATCATTGTATTCTAAATCAGTGGTTCCTAATTAGTGGTATGCGTACCCCTGGGGGTACACAAAATTGCGTGAAGGGGTACGCGCGGCAATCTAAAATCGGTCGATTTAAAATTTAAATGCATGAGATGAAGCAATCAAAAAAATAATGGATGGACCATCAAAAATTCGGCAATTTACAAAATGATGTCGAATGCACAAATTCGTTTATAACTAAAAATAATCTTGAAATTTCATCAAAAAATGCATTTGTGACAATACCTAAATGAAATTCTTATGCAAGAAACAAAAATTGTACAATTAATTGTGTTAATTGTACAATTATCATTATTATCATGTCAGCGAAGCAGCAATAAAATATTTACCGCCATTTTGAACAACGTACCTCTGCGAGAGCGGATTTTCGGCCATGACAAACATGAAAACTAAACATCGTAACCGACTTCAACTTGAAGATGACTCGAGACTAAAGCTGATCAAAAAGCAACCAGATTTTGCAAAGTTGTGCAAAGAAAATCGTGCACATTTGTAACATTAAAATTAAATAACTTTGTTATTTTCATTATTATTAGAATTGTATTTTAAAGGTAATAAATGTAAAAAAAACTTATTCTATTTATCACTAGCTGTCTACCCACAGCTTCGCCTACATTATATGGAATTTTCTTGTGGGAGTAAGATATTTTCTTGCAGTAAAATGTAGTCCATGTTCATCTCCAGCATGTAAGCTATCTCTGTGCCAAATTTTATTAAAACCTGTTCAGTGGTTTAGACTTGAAAAGGTAACAGACAGAATTACCTTCGAATTTATAATATTAGTATGGCTTAATATGAATTTCTGTTATAAGGGGTACGCGAGTTTGAGCTCTTTCTTAAAGTGGTACGCATGAAAAACTAATTGGGAACCACTGTTCTAAATGATACTTAAATTTAACCATTAGATGGTCCAGACAGTAAGACTGACATACTGAATTAGAATTTTTAATGATGAGTTTAACCCATATATTGTCTTGTCCTTGCTACTCAATCCTCCTAATGTCTGGCAGAACTGGGGATGATGAGAAAATGGGGTTGCAGCCCCAAGGTCCAGGTTGATATTCTACTATTCCATTTGTGTAACTCGAGTCTTGTAATTTGTTCCATGAGTATAATGAAATAATATAAGTGAATATTAATCTTCAAAATTAAACTGAAAATGAGTTAAATTTCTGTTAAAAACAAAGCAATTGGATCCATAAACATTTATAAAATGATGTTTGATTGAGCCGTCTTTGGCAAGCTTCTAAAACAACCGACTTGCCCCTTTTGCCACTTTGCTCTAATTTGTGATTGTCTTGCAGCTATGTAAAACAGTGACTCGTACAAATCATTAGTCTGATTAGATTTGTGTAGGACTGCAGAGTTTAGCTGTTTTGTATCCAAATGGATTATTTTTTATCAGTATTGTTAATACATTGATTGCATGTAACAATTGTCTTTGGCACTAACCCTATGATTGCTCTTCATGGATCTGGACAGAACTTGTGATAGGCATGAAAAAAAGATACTGTAAATTCTGGGAAGGTTTTAAAGTTTTTCAAATTCAAACACCTTTGCTGGAGTAGTTTCATTAGCTTGTCCCTTTTTCATGAGAAATTGCATATCTAATTGAAATATAAATTTTCATTCCCATGCATTTTTTATTATTAAAAAAATAACATTAACAGGGTAGGAACTGCTTATGGCACCTACATTTTCATCCTGTCCAAAAATAGTCTCCAGTTTTCCCTTTCAGCAGTCCTGTTTCCAAGTTTGTAGTTTTCTTTTGCTTATCACTCCAAATTGATGGGGGTTTTCACCCACACTATATTTTGTTACCCCAAAGTTAGCTACCCTAGTTGTAGGCAGCTTAACTGTGCACTTTTAAAATTCAATTTTTCAGTATATTTAAAATTTTTAGTCGTAAATAGCCATTCTGTTGCCTTCTATTGTTGATGGCCCAAGTGCATCCAAATGACAAATTGCTAAAGTATACTGTTCTGCAAGTTATTGGAAATGGGGAATCTACAGTGGTTGAGTTGTAGATTGTACAGCTTCATGCTGTAAAATGTGAAAGTCAAATTTTTTATTTTATGTAGCTTTAGAAATTGTTTATTACCTTTATTCATTTTCAGGGTGGCCGGACATCCACTTGCCCAGAACGAACGATGCCTCCACATGTTCTTACAGGATCCAGTGCTTGACAAGAACTACGTTCCGGGGAAAATTCGAAACACATGAATGGCGCATAGACAGACGCGCAAATCTACTGGTTTCGTCATTCCTAAAGGTGATGTGCTTTGTTGCTCTTTGGAATTTGAGCAAAAGGTGACTCTTATCGTTACGTGCACTGCCTTCCTTCGACATTCTTTCTCGACATAATAGCCATCATGTAAAATTAAATATTAAATATATATTATACAAACATACATATATACAGAATATAAATACTTTGAATAAAGCTATTTTTGATTTCTCATTTTCAATAAAAAAAAAACAAACTGATTTTGTAAGAAATTCTATCTAGTTGTCTGAGAACATTACTTCATGTGACACACAGTTAAAATTTGTAACATATTTTTGTTATTCATTTTTATTTCTTATGTCCTAATATAAATCTATAGATGTAAAAAAAATTATAATAGGTAAATCAAAGCGATACTAGTAACAGATTGTTTCCAGTAACAATATACAGCAGCTAGAATATAAAATTGTCATCAAACATCTGAAAATTTTGTATTCATTCACATTCATACATAGAAAATTCGATTTCTGTTGTTTAATAATTACTGGACTATCTAGAATAAAATTATTACCATTTACATGTAATAATTTTACTTGATATTATGTACTGGTATGCAAATGTTCTTTGTTTTGCATAATAAAAAAAAATTTTGAAAGAATATATTTATTTCTTTCTCAGTCTGTCTGGCAACTTGGATACATACGGGTTCTCTCTTGAAATAAAATGATGCAACAAGCATATTTACATTTTTGATAGTCAAAATTTATCATTTGTATCTTAATGCAAATTCAGTCAGAAGAAAATATTTCTTTTCGTGGTTTGGTAATTAAAATTAATAGTTTGGCACCGATATGTAAATAATCGGATTGGCACCGATATGTAAATAATGCCATTTAAACACTATTGTGTAAAACTTTGGTTTTTAGGTGCATTTATATTAAGTATTAAGTAATTTTTGTGACAGTTGACCACCACCACCACCACAGATAGATCTTAATGTGAAAAGATGTCTACCAGATTAAAGTTCAGGTGATCTTTGTTTAAATAGAGATTTTCTTGTTAATAAAATTTTTAAGTTGATTCAATTTGGTAGAATTTTATAACTTATTTATGAAACAAAACAGTGGCAATTTTTTCCACATTTTTGTTAGAAAAACTTTGAACTACTCAAATATTGGCTTATGGTTTTTAGTTCCAAAACATTTAGGTCCGGGGCCTCGGAAAAGTTAGCCCCAAAATATTTGCAAAAAAGTTTTTAATTGAAAAATCATGATTTTATTAAATGTAATTTACAAACATTAAGAATACAACTATATGTATTTAAAGAATCACAGAAAACAAGAAAATTATAATAAATTTTAGATATCCCCACATTTAAAAATTTTTAAGTGTGAGGTTTCGATTTCGAAAAACAGACATCCAAACTGGCCCTGGGTTGGCCCTTGTTTACAAATATTTGAAATTTAAATGAACAATTTCCAAAATACATATGATCTAATACATTCCCAAAGATAATTCAAATATTGAAGTGTTTTCATAAAATTTTAACTCTCATCTAGTTTATCCAGATGACACTATACATTGCAAAGCATCTAGTAAAGTGTGATTTTAGTATAATAATAAACACTACTGTAGTTGACAAGACTATGCCTTGTCTCTAAAATTGCAGTCAATGGTTGCACACCTTAAAGGTATGAAGGAGTACATGTCAGGAGTTGCAATCTGGCACAGAATATTTGTTGCCCAAATCGTGCATGCACAAAATAAACCCGACTTGTAGGTAGTCGGGTCCAAGAACTGGGTCAAAATAAAATACAAAATGCTAAGACTTTACAAACAGGTGCGAGATTTGTGCATTGCTCAGAGAGATAATCTCATCCCAAGAATGGCTTTGCTGTTTTACTTATCTTAATAACATTACTGATAAACACTTAAACACAGTCCCACAATAGAGGTGCATAAAATATCACACTAGGCCAGGGGTCGGCAACCTGCGGCTCGCGAGCCACATGCGGCTCTTTGGATGTGAAGCTGCGGCTCTTTAGTTCCATACGCAAATATTTATTTTATCAAAAAAAAAACATTTAAAAATCGTTCTGAATCGATTAACGAGGATTAGGCACTGATTCTATCTCTCAGCCACTTGTACTCGCTTTTCACCGCACCCCTTCCCTGTGACACGCGTCGTCACTGTCGTCAGTCCGTAGGAAGCTCTCGAATGACGCTGTTGTCGGATGTTTCTATTATCTAATTTGTTGTGAAAAACACTACTTATATGTAATAAATAGATATTTTTTCTTATGAATAAATAGATTAGTTTTTTTATCAAAAAACTTTATTTATGCGAGTACTATTTATTGTTGGCAAGAAAAAATTTTGTGGCTCTTTAAAAACTTTGAAATTTTGTATATTGTAATTTTGGCTCTTCCGACTCAAAAGGTTGCCGACCCCTGCACTAGGCCATGCTCATTATTTATTATGGACAAAACAGCAGAAAAATTATGACTATTTAATATAATTTTGTCTTTGTTGTTAAACATTTTTTTTCTCATTTCTAGACATATTGCAGAATTGCAACAAGTGGTCCAAATTATTTTTTAGTTTATGTTATGCCGTCTTTTATGTTCAACAGTTTTAAAATTCCCAAATTTTTTTACTGTTTGATTAAAATTGAATTTTAAAATGTACCAAGAGTCGGGCCTAGTAGGATGATAATGAATGTGATCAGTGGTTTTACACTCCACTGTCGGTAAATAAGTTATATCCTCTCAATCTACCATGAACCACCCGTGCCTGTCGTTAAAAGGAGGATTTCAAACTTAGTATTGGAATGAGCATTGTGGTGTGTGGGTTGTTAGAGATGCTATCGTTAGAAAATATGCACATGGCAGGTTTGAATTTGGTTGTCTAGCTAGAAATTAGAATTGTGTTAGAGGGTGGTCTACATCTAATAGATGAACCAAAAACTAAGACACTGATAAAGTTCATGCTAACAAGTAAGAATCATTGTTTCATTATGGTGGTGTGCTGCCAACTGGGCATGATGACTAATGTAAGATTAAATGTGACACCACAAATGTGTTAATGTGCATCATACTGTAATGTAACAATACCATACCTTTTGTATTACGAGCAACAATGAAAATAAACTTAAGATTGTATGGAAACTTTACATTTTTGTATTTTCCGCTTTTAGTGCCACTTTTTAAAAATTTTAGATTTTAATATCGAGACGATTCTTCAGGCTTTTGCAAAAGAGAATAAAGAATAAGTCATCACGGCTGGGAAATGAAAATACAAGAGGCCGTATTTTGTTTATCTTAAATGTTCAAATGCTTCCAAATTAATTTTATTAGTATGACAGCTTTATTTCGTGCAAATACATTAAAATAGCAGATTTATAAAATTGTTCTGAAAGATTTGATGATAAGCATTTTATAAATTGAATTTGTTTGGGCTATTTCGTAAACGAGGCCACATTCTCGGAAGTTTTGAGCTCTAAGATTGAGATGGAACTTTTAAATTACTCTTAATGGGATTGGTTGCTTGAATTTTATATTGTGGATAGAGAACACCTAGATGTTTTGTTGTGTCTAGGTTATTTAATTGCACTAACACAAATCATCATCATGGACTACTCTTATCAGAATAGTTGTATGAGTTGAGTTATTTGTCTCAATGGGTTAGGTTTAATAACCTGATTAACCCATTGAACCCAATTGAACCCAAAACATGGAAATGGTGTCCCCTCTGCAAGAAAGAGGGAATCTAAATTATAACCTTTTTTTTTACCAGATGAATGTCTATGATTAAAAGGGGGCAAGCAGCTATCTATTAACTACCATCATTTCGACGTCATCTTTGAATCGAAGCGGGACTTTTCTAAATATCGCTTCTCGTTGATTATGCGATTGATTTTGTTTTCTCTTCTGTTAAAATCACGAATGAGGGTTCGAGACGAACTTCCTTTTTCCCCATAAATCACGTTATAAATGGTTTATCTCAAACATGGCGTCGAAATGATGGTAGTGCGGGTTTAGCACAGCGCCATCTTTTGTTGACTATTCGAAAATTTTTTGCGGGCGATTTTTTTCTTCTCTTACTTTATAAGTCAAAACTATGATTATAATAAATGCAGCGCGTGCTACTTTAAAATGTAATCTTGGTGAGTATCGTATGAAGTATCGTCAGAACTAATGCAAGATCGTTAGAGTTAATGAACGCATTAGTCATTAGTGCATTCGGAAAATAATTGAGCACATTTTTGAATACAGTATTTACTTCGAAAAGCAACTAAATTTGTCCAAATTCAAGATGGATCGATATACGTTTGTTAATTTAGTGTATCCGTAGGATAGATTTACATTCCTTTCTCCGAGAATATAATTAAAGTACTTTTTAGTCGATTAATTCAAAAAATATAAAGTGACCTCGCGCAAAAAAAACATGCTGCAAGATCAATAAAGTAACGTTGGACTGTAAAGAATGAACGACTCGAGGTAAAAATGACGTCAGAAGCGTGATTACCGAATGCAAGATGCGTTCGTTTGGTACGCTATTAAGTCATATTTTTTTTAAATGTAAAATTACGTCGATTTGACGTCACATCTCTCAAGTACACCGCGCCAATCAAACGAACAGTATGTCACATCCGTTTCCGGACTTCCTGAACATTTAAAAAAATGAAAGTTCCGACTTTTCTCGACTTCATTAACGATTAAAACTAATTCGTCCATTACCAAAAGCGAGTTTGTATAATTATATTTTGTTAATTTATTCGAACGATTAAAAACATTTAATCATTTATAAAATATAAGAATTAAAATGTAAAAAAAAAGAAGAAAAAAAGATGTGTGCCTGCCAGGGATCGAACCTGGGACCTTCCGCGTGTTAGGCGGATGTGATAACCACTACACCACAAGCACATAGTAAACGAGCAACTTTATACAGTTGATATTTGTATTGATTAGTGGCAACCTTAAGGTGAGTTTATTGCGAAGATTTGTTTTAAGGAATGACAACGGAGAAACAATTTATTTTATATTAATTAACATGTCTCCGTGTCATCCCTTACGTTGTCAATGCCAATGATTTTGGATTGATGCAATTCCTTCTGTATTGTCTGATTGCAGGGCCACTTATATTGACGAAGCACCACTTGACACCAAAGCAGTTTTATTACTTAAAAAAAAAAAATAAATATGGCAACGCATCTCGCCTGAGTTCATTTGGGTAAGATTAGATAACTAAGGTAATTGAGTAATAAACGACCGTGGGCGCGTGTCTTGGTCACTCCAAATTTGCATTGAGCTGCACGCATCATTTCGAAATCCTGTATACGCCACTGTCTGATCGCTAAGAAGGTTATCGCTGTTACCTTTTACATTTAAAAATACAGTAGAACCTCGAAAACTCGGCCCTCGATAACCCGGCACTCCGGATAACTCGTCCACACCCTGGCAGGGCAAAAAAATCCTTAGTTAATTAATTTTCATTATAGACAGCTTTATAAAAGTATAAAAGCTCTCATAAAGTATTTTTCTGAGGTCTGTCTTATCACATAAATTACTGTACACAGTGTATTCATTAATTTTCATTTTCATGTAGTAAAGTACGTAGCCTTCATAAAGTACGTAGTTTTCCTTTGTTTAAGGGTATTTGGGCAGTTTATTCTCTGTTATATTCTCAAGTAAACAATACATACAAGTACAGTACAGTATTTTCTGAGGAANTTTGATTAATTCATTCTGGAGACCCCAAAAAATAAAAAATATAAATAAATGTAGTAAGAAAGTATATATGTAATAATAAAAATACATATATACACAGTCTTGCATTTATATTAGTCATGTTTTTTCCATTTTTGGGGGTTAAAGAATCTGTCTAATGTCGATTGCTTTTCTCTTTCTCAAGATTTTTCCAAATTAATTAATAGCATTATTGTTGTAGAGATCCCTAAGCCTATTAATCTCAACCTGGTTTGGATGCCATTCTAAGACTGTCATTCTGACATCATCCCACTTCAAAAAATGTTTAATAGCAGATATTGACATTAATTCTCTTTTTCAGAAGAAAACATCTCACCGAGTATCTTGGCGTTCTTCTGTCATCAGATCCACTTCAGGTTTCATTATGAGCTCTTCAATGTTCTTTATTTCTCAGATGTGATTTTTGTTACTCAAGCTGCTTGAGTCTTCTTGATTATATGTATCTTTCTTAGATAAGATTGAACTGAACTGATAAGATTGAACTGATACTGTAGATCTGTTCAAGCCATACTGCCCAGCAACATCAGACATCTTTTGCCCCCTCTCTATCTTTGCTATTATACTCTTACTGTTCAAAAATAAAAACCAATGCAAAACTTAAAAGTGCCTGCCAGACAGTCTTGCAAATACCATAAAAGAATTTTGTCAGAAAAATAAAAGGCTGGAATTACAAGGGAGAGTTTCAAAGTTTGGAGGAATACTATCCACTCTGTATACTGTGTTGAGCGTCGATGTCGACGTCTCCCGTGCTCCAAAAAATTTTGAATTGTCTGAAGACAAGGGAAGACCAGTTGGTATTCATTATTTTGCATCGCTTCTTCTTGTGTTTATTCTGTGAGGTGTTCGTTAATCGATCATGTGTTCATTGTCTGAACATAAAAATCTTTTGTGAAAGTGTTTATCTGATTTGTTCGTTAACCGATCACCCACTGTACTTATTACATGGAACAGCAGTGTACAGAATTGATTATCTATTTTCAGTATATTTATTACTACAGTAGANAAGGTCGAGGGGATAGATAGCGTTGTGTATATTTTCTGGAAGAATTTACAAATTAGTAAGAAATAGACTTTAATCTGCCATGATCACTGGACATTTTTATTTTAGGATTTTATTATTATTATTTTACTTTTCCGGCTGTTGTATTTTGTATATAACAGAGGGAAAGTATAGTAATCTGTCATGATATTTTACAATTTTGGACAGGACACGTTGAAACGTCGAGAAATGCAAAAAATTTCGGGGGTAAATTTCATTATGTACGGATTTGTGTGTATGTGTGTGATTTTGTTCACCCCGTTTGAAGCTAAACTCCTGTGCTTTTTATCGAAAATTTATGAAATTTTACAGGAAGGTTTGCTTATTAGGGGGATCGATGCTGTTAACTTTTGATGGTTAAAGATCGACGGGTGGGAGATAATGTGAGTCGTGCTTATCTCCAGTAGGATCGGATTTAATGGCGCTTTTACTCATTAGCATTTACAACTTTTTATAAAACCCATCCCTACTCTCAAAATGAAGCATTTTGCCATTTTATAATAGTTAAAAAATATAAAAAGTTTTTTTTTAATAAAATATGATAACAGGTAGCAACACCAAAATTTTAAATGTTGCCAGAAAAGTTAAGCAACTCGTTTCTGGTTTATTTCTTTATTTTTAAATGTACATAAGTACAAATATATTTTGCCAAATTTGCAGAATATTTTAAATTTTCGGCATTCATGTGTTAAATTTGCGAGAAGAACCGGTGTCGAAATAAATGATTTATGCAATTTTACTACAGTTACTTTGATCCTTTGACATAATTTAGTTTAAAATAAATTAAATTAAAAAAATTTCGTCTGAAACAAAATAAATTTTATAATTTAATATAACCCATCATTCAAATTTCCTTCAAAACATGACATTTTCTGATTCCAAATCGAATTTTTTAAACAAAATCTTTTTAAATCAGAGAATTTTTTCTTATTTTTAAAAAATATTAATTTATTATTAACCGATTAAATTTTTTTATAATTTTTAATTATTTCAAATTATTTAAAATTTTAAAATTATTTTTCGAAAAATCCTTAACGAAAAAAATTTTTAATTTTAATTTTTATTAAAATTTTGAATTATCTGTTCTAATATAAATTTTATACTTAAAATTTTTTTACTGTGATTAAGATATTAATTTGGAATTAAAATATTAAAAATTTTAAAAATTTATGAAATATGTCTGCACTTGCGAAAATGTCGTCTGCTGGTACTGTGTTTCGGTTGCAGTGACGTCATTCGAGAATTTTTTAAACAAAATAAACTAATGAAAATTAGTTTGAAAATTTGAATTAAATTAATATTAAAAATTCTTAAATTTTAAATAATTGTTTAAAAGAAAATTAATTAAAATCGATACGAACTCCAACCCGGAAACGATTGCCTAACTGTTATCAAAGTGTATGTCGCAACCGTTGATGGATGGAATCTTATTAAATCTCTCTTTTCAACATCTTACGAAAAAATAATTCAATTTATCGAATTAAAAAAATAAAATAAAATGAAGCAAGAGAAAGTTTTTAAATTAAAAAAAAAACAAAATCTTTATTTTGAACTAAACCTAAAATTTTTCAGAGCGCCATCTGTTATTTAATATTTTAAATTTATTAATTACGAATATTAATTTTAAAAAATAAAAGAAAGGATAGTTACGAAATACAATAATATTTGTTTTAGTTTTTAAAAATCGAAATGAATTTTAATAAATTTTGTAGTTATTTCATTTAATAGAATCGATATAAGATGGAAGAGGACGGAGAAGAGAGAAAATATTCCACCAGTAAGATTTTAGTATTTAGTCACGTGATGTGGCGTCACCGGTCAATGTCGAAGTGGCGCACATTGGCTTGACTGCATAGCTGCAGCAAAGAGGTACACTAGTCGAGGCGGTCTTCAATCGAAGGCGTGAAAAATCCATTGTTTACAGTTCAATTTTGGTCACCCTCATCGATTTATAGATTTCTTTTTTAAAATTGATATGGCCGAAAACAGGGCGATAAAATCCGGACTCGCTGCGGAAGCACACAGCAAGGTAAGCGTTACGACCAAAAAACTAATAATAATAATAATTCTAAATTTTAATAAATAAATTAAATATAACGAATAATTAAAATTTTAACCGTGTCTAAATTTAATGCAAATTAAACTCTACACGTGCTTAAAAAACGTCATCTACTTTCGTTTCACGTGCAGTGACGTAAACGAATTTATTCGATATTTATGAATGTTTTCGATTATTTTAATAGATTTTTATCGTCGAATTATTAAAAAAAAATAAATAAAATAAATATGGAAGAGGAAAAATAATTTCCGCGCGCGCGCGAACACCATTTCGTTTCTTGTCGAACATTCATTCAATCGAATTTTCGACTGACTCACGTCTCCGTTCTCGTCCCGCATCTCGTCGATGGCGCAAAATGTCGCGACTTTACATCAACCATGTGCACTCCAGTCACGTGGCCCGCAAATCATTAATTAATCCCCCGGTTAATTACGTCGTGACCCATTTTAAACGACTAACGAATCGATTCTTACCTAATATAATTGCATCGATTAAATTTCGAGACGGGGAATTAAAAAAAAAATTAAATTTAAAATTTAAAAATGGCGCCGGATCCATACAAAACCCATTTAGTTTGTTAGATTTCCGGCAAGAATTTGTATCTTTTTAGTCGAATTTCTTTTTCGTTCGTCCTTTAACCAGTTTGTGTGTGTTTATATCTGGAAAATAAAGGTTCTTTGGTCGTTTTTTTTTTTCGCTAAGCAATGAACTTTTCAAAGTTCAATGAATTCAAAATGTTCCCACGTGATATTATAGACCGTGGCACAAAAATTGTGATGGTAATAACAGGCTACGTTTTTGGGTAATTATAGACGTTCACTCGATATTTCTCTTACAGTTATTTTGTAAAGTGGCAATGCACTTAAGGGGGCACTCCACCGAAATATTCGCCATGCTAAATTCGGGCTAAGTACGTTAATAATTCGTGGGTAGATAAATGTGTTTGCCTTATTACAGATTGCAAATATGAGTCAAAATGTTTACGAATTATTATCGTATCTAGTTCAAATTGTGGCGACAAATTATCGATTAATGTTGCGCAAATATTTAAATGTTAAAGGTAAACTAATGCAGTTTTTTTTTATATGTTTCCCCTTTAAGATTTATTTTATTAAGTTTATTTAAAGCTTATGTGGTAGAAATATAGCCTATACAAGAAAGGCTTCTAGGAGGCTTACCTTATTGAGGCCTTCGATAAATAAAATTTGTTAAAATTTAGGCCTGTTTCTTTTCTCCATACGCAAGAAGTTTAATGGAATGAATGATTTTAACGCACGTTTGAGGCCTCCTTTGTAATACGGCCTCTGATGTAAGTGATAGACCTCTCGAGAATATATTTAGTTACATCTTTGTAAATTCTTGAGTATCGTTTCCAAAGCTACTTGAACCCTCCTTCGAATTTTAAATTGTCCCCATTCCTCCTCCTTTTGTTATTTAAATAAAGTGTTTAAATTTAAAATCTAAATATTTTAAAAAAAGAAATTCTTATCAGTGTTTAATTTATTTCTCTTAAATTAAATTAAATTTTTTCGTTAAATTTGATAAAGAGAAAGTATATTTGCGTACAGAAAGATGGTAATTATTTACGTGGTTTGTTGGAGATACGAAAAGGCTGTGTTTACACCAGTCGAAAATCACGTGGGTGTAAATAATCTCTCGTTCCCTTTTTTCCCTCAGTTTAAGATTTCCTTTGAGTAGAGAGAAAGAGAGAGAGGTCAAACCTTTAAATATCTCTATTAGGGAAGGAGCGAGTGGGAAGGAGGAACCTCGCACTTATATTCTATTTAAGTGCACTTGGGTGAGGTGCCATGTTTGTTTAAAGAAAACGGAATGCCTTATTAAGATTTCCGCCACGCCAAAACACTAATATATATATTATACTTGGAAGCGATAATGTTTCTGGTTTAAAAAAAAAAAAAGGAGGAGAAATATATAGAGCCATATCTGTCGAATATGCAAGTCGATACCATTTATATAAAGCCATTATTGTTAGGTAAAGCTGACACATTGTTGACAGCAGTTTACGTCAGTGCGTAAGAATGCAAATTAGCGAAAGTACGCTCGAGTATTGTGGCAAAGTGTAGCCATTCCTTCTTGTAGTTTTTGGTAATTGTGTAAAGCGCAAGAAGTTAACACACCTGCGACTTTCTGCATCGGAATCGATTGCCCAGTTTCTTCTTGGCACCGGATTAACTTTGACAATATTTTTCTTTTTTTTTGCAAATTCTGTAAAAACGAGAGTAATTACTTCCGTACTTCGGAGCCAAGAAGCGAGGGAACTGCTTTTTATGGCTATTTGCACGCTTGCTCTTAATTTTATTTATTTATTAATTATGCTTCGTATATGTATTTTTAGATCCAATCCAAGTACGATAGCGAACTGGCAGGGCAACTCTTGCAATGGATGAGAGACGTCACAGAGGAGGATATCAACTCGGACGGGGAACGTGATAACTTCTATGACGTCTTGAAGGACGGACAGTTACTATGCAAGTTTGTAAAATAAATTTTAAGTCATTTTCCCCGGGCGATTTAGTTGAAAAAATGTACAGTAAATTGTTGTCTAATTGTTTGTTTACGTTGTAGATTGATTAACACGCTCCAGCCGGGTACAATCGCCGAGAAGAAGATTAACAATAGTAAAATGGCGTTTAAGTGTATGGAAAACATCAATCACTTCCTGGAAGGTGCGAAGAAGTTGGGGGTACCCGCCGAAGAGACTTTTCAAACGGTCGATCTGTGGGAAAAACAAAACTTGCCATCCGTATGCATCTGTCTACAGTCGTTAGCGAGGAAGGTGAGGAGGATGTTCTGTTCCTTATTCGGTCTTAAAATATGCGATACGTATTCAATTACACGCTGACATTAGTCACCCGTGTTAAAAAACTGTTAATATTAATACCGCACGTCATTAAATATTGATGATGTAGAATTGTGTAACGGGTAGAGAGCCCGCTACTGGCCGAGCGGATAAAACCACTAAACAATGGCCGTGGGTTGGTGCCTCGGTCACGTGAATTCTTCGGATTTTCATCACAAACGTGAAGAAAATCCGAAGAATCTGCTGAAGGGAAGAAAATCCTCCCGGGAGGCAACCCTTCAGCAGATCGCCCACGTGTCACGTTGCCGTAAAAAAAAAAAAAAAAAAAAAAAAAGTAACGGAGAGGACTACTGCGCGTTATATACGAGTACGACATTAGATAATTGACGTGCCATTGTAGGAATTGTCATTTGCATCAAATTAATTGCTCGTTTAAAGAGGAGGGAAGCGGATAAGATAATTTTACGCTTCACCACAGCAAACACTAAATGTGTTTGCTGTATTGTTGTTGTTGTTATTTTGTTTTCTTAAATTTGTTTTGTTAAATTGCTAAGTGTGTTGTTATTGTATCTTTTATTTTCTTTTTACTTTAGGCTGCCAAATTTGGGCACAAAAGCATGGGTCCTAAGGAAGCGGATCCGAACATTCGCCAGTTTTCCGAGGAGCAGCTCAAAGCGGGACAGAACGTGATAAGTCTCCAGTACGGTTCGAATAAAGGGGCCAACGCTAGTGGTATTAATTTTGGTAACACACGTCACATGTAAAAAAAAGAAAGTAATTTCCAATTCCAAGAACAACTCGATGCTTATTTACTAAATAAATTCCCTATTTTAATTCGGCAAATTCGATTCGGAATAATTTTTAATGAACTAAAATTCGATCCTTTGTCGAGTTCCTAGTCTGTCTTTTTTTTTTTTCTTTCTTTTTAAAATTAAGTTATCGATTGTTTCCTTTTTATTTTTTAAAAATAATTTTAGAAGAAACACGTTTTGACATTCCACACCACTTGAAAAATTCTTCTTCGTCGTAATTTTACAAATGTGACCTTTTGACCTCTTTCACGTAAAAATTCGGGCTCCTTTGTAGCCAATCACGTTAATATATTCGACTCGGAGATTTTTGTAATTTATTTATAAAGGTGTTATCTTTTTATGCACAAATTTCATAGAACGTTTTTAGAAATTCCATGAAGTGACCTTTTTTTATTTTAAATCTTTCTGTAGATTTTTCTTCTTCCCCTTCGTGTCTTCTTGGAGGGATTCGCAATCACGGCACTGTTAGATATTAACCGTTGTTTTTTCTTTTTCTTTATTGCTTTATCGACCCATTAAGTTAGAAGTTCTTCTATCAGAGACCATTTTTAAGTGGTAGGACACGTGATTGTGGTAGAAACGATTGTGCACGTGTTTAAGTTCGCACGTAGTAAACGGAGGGAGAATATTTTTCCACGTCTATCCAATTAATTCGCTCGTCTAATAGTAAGAATCTGCAGTTTCATCATTGTATTTAAAAAAAGAGAAGAATTTGCTATACTGTAAACGTAGGATTTACTGCAAAAAACGGGGGAGAAGCGTGGTTTCTTCCAGTACAACAACCTCCGGATATTTTTTTAATGTCGCTAACTACGAGGATTTATATTGCCTTCTGTAACTTAAAATATAATGTAGTTTTATAGTATTTGTGATTAAAAACAAAATATATATACAGGGAAGAACGAACCTATTTTTGTGCAAGTTTAAATAAAAAGAAAAACTTTTATCTTGGACCTATCGATTGGTTTCGTTTCTGGTAATTTACACGCGAGGTTTCGAAAGTGTGTGACGTCACACTCGAGTGGGAAATTGTCGAAATTGCCAGTGGTAAATAGATCTGAAAAAGGTGATACTTAACGGAAGCGTGACGACACACGCGACGATCCTAGTATCGCGGAAGAGAAAAAACAAAATGGCGTAATCGCCCAAGCGTTTCGATCCGTTGGTAAATCCCGTTTTTGCCATGATTTCTCGCTAAACTATAAAATGGGGAGGTAACGCTTACTAAAAACATCCCGAATTTACTTTCCATAAAGTAGTAATAGTGTAGAGCGGTCAAAAGTTATGCATGCACTCCTTCCTCCGTTCTTCCAACCCATTATTTTTCTCCTGTGCCACTTGGAAACCATTAAAACACAACCCCCAATAGCTGTTTTTTTATCCCCAACTCTTGTAATGGGGGGAATTCCAATATTTTATGTATGTACAGTACTTGGAAGAGTTGCACAGTATTAAATCCATCATCCAGTTGGTCTGTTGAGGTACAGGACACAAATCTTACACCTTACTTATAAAAAATAAACGTTATTAACCATTCAAATTATAGTTGAAAAAATTAATATTTGATGTTATTAAAAGTGATTTAAGATCAGTATCATCTTACAGTTTATGTTTACATTAGTAGTATATTATAAATTGTTTATAGTAATATACTCTACAGATAGGAATTGCTGATTGATTTCCCTGTTTGGATGGTAACTGTAGTCCACAACAGCACTACAAAATGGTATATTTTTTTCTCTACATAATTCCTTTTTAAGAACAGCATTTTGCTTCCATTTATATGATAATTTTTCCCAAAAATTCCCTATTTTTAAATTTAATTTTATCTGGAAATTCCCCTAATGCTTCTTTTTCTTTTTTTTCCAAGTCATAAATATAGAAGAGGGTTGTTGCCTAATGTGTACTTTACTAGCTGAAATCCTGAATTGTTTATGATAAACATCTTAAGGGTTTAAAACAATTGACATTTTGTATTTGATAGAGAGCTCGTTATTCAAGAATTTCTAACTAAATGTTACATTGTTTCCAACACTTCTAAGCTTGGAGTAAATTAACAAATTTGGCATATAAACAAAATTAACATCTTGGCACTTATCAAAATGCATTCATAACTACAAATAATTACTAAAATATCATCACACTTAAACTTATAAAAAAAATAAGTTTAGAAAAATTGATTTTTCTTCAGTTTTTTTATCAATCTAGGTTATTTTAAATGAGTAGATATTTATAGAAATCATTTTTAAAATGTATTGATATTTTATCAAATATATTTAAAGAATTTTTTCCTTAATTAAATTTGATCCTGTTTGCAAAAATTAAGAATTATGGCTAACTATATAGTTTTAGAAAGTTGTTTAAATTGTATAGGATAAAACCCAAGTATCTGCATGCCTAGCATTGCTCAGGCTTTTGAGGGAATGGGGAATTGAGAGAGGATGATAAAAACAATGGTCTTCGTAACTAAAATAGACATTTAATGGCCCGAATGTTTACGATAATGAAATTGTAAAACACAAAAATTACCTTAACTTATTTAGGGGGACCTCCAGAGTATTTTTTCTAAGGCATCAAAGAAGATTCATGCCAAGTTTGGTGGTATGTGTTGAATGGTATAAAATCCTTTACCTAACATGTATACATATTTTGACACACACACATATATATATATATATATGAGATTTCATCCAATTTTATCCCATGTAATTAAAATTTATACATGAAAATANTGAGGAAACACTCGTACTTATTTTTTTTAACCCCATTCCCGATAACCCGGCATTTTCACAAACTCGGCCACCCTTCGGTCCACATTAGGCCGAGTTTACGAGGTTCTACTGTATTAAGTTATTTATACAAACATTGTCGATTAATGCGTATCAGAGTAATATTCAAATGAAGATTTCAGATTGATAACCTTAATAATAAATTACGAAAAAAAATTCTATTTATTTTACTTTCCCAGTTATTACATACAATAGAGGGAAGGGAAAGTATGGCGATCGGTCAAAATTACAATTGGTTTATTATTATTATTATTATATTTTATAAAACTCGTCTCTACCACGAAATTAAGTTTTTTGCCATGCAATAACTCATAATATAAAAAAGGTTATTTCTTAATAAAATCTCATAACGCATACACAATTTTAGCTTTTTTGTCGGAAAAGTTTTTTAATTAAAAACAAATAAAAGAAACTGGCCGATTATGATTGAAAATAAATAGTACTATTTCCAAAAATATATCATGTAGGCGTCTCTGGTGGCAAACTTACAGGGGTGGTTAGAAAAAATTTAAAATGAAATTGTGACGAACGAAAATTATTTCAGCAGTTTGAATGCCCGCGCAGGCTTTTAAACTACTAAAATAGGAGTAATGAACAAAACGTAAAATTCATATAATTGAAATATCAACTGCGCAATCCATTACATTAATATAATTCATGGTCGTTTATCGTTCGTTTCTTTTCGGTTTTCCTTTTCTCTTCATCTTTGTTCTTATGATTATCGGTTTGATTTCCGTTTTTGTCGTATGTCCTTGTCGAATTTACTACCACGAATTCTGATTTCGAGAACATTTTTGATGAACAAATATTTTATTTTATTATAAATATTAATTTTTTTGTATATTTTTTTATTTTTCCATAAATGCTTTGGAAAAATTTGGGATAAATTATTTGAAAATTGTGCAACATAAAATCGGGTCGAAAAACTCCAGGAATTTTCGGGAGGTAGATTGTTCAGATATGTTTAGATAAGTGGAAGGATAGTGAGGGAAGGAGCCCGTCCTTTCCTCACTATCCTGCCACTGCATTCTGGGTCTGACCGAATCCATAACAGGCCCTCTTAGTGCCCACAGGATGGAAAAAGTTAATTTTAAAAACTCAACTGAACTATTTGATATGGGGATAAAAAGCTAACACGTTCTTTTATTTAATATTAATTAAAAGCTGTGTAGGGCATGTTTTTATTGATAGTTCATGTGTATGAAGCGCTATTTAATACTTCATGCGCAACCAAAAAAGTTTGTTAGTTTATTAAGGTAATAGCAGTTAATATGAGCCGCTGTCTATTCTTGTTTTGACTAAGGTGGCCTGAAGTCTCTCTCATTCAACGAAGAAGCTGAAGATTTAGAAACGAAATTTGGCGTGGTATCTTTTGAATAAAGGGCATTGATGCTATTTAATTTTATTTATTAAAGGTCGAGGGGATAGATAGCGTTGTGTATATTTTCTGGAAGAATTTACAAATTAGTAAGAAATAGACTTTAATCTGCCATGATCACTGGACATTTTTATTTTAGGATTTTATTATTATTATTTTACTTTTCCGGCTGTTGTATTTTGTATATAACAGTGGGAAAGTATAGTAATCTGTCATGATATTTTACAATTTTGGACAGGACACGTTGAAACGTCGAGAAATGCAAAAAATTTCGGGGGTAAATTTCATTATGTACGGATTTGTGTGTATGTGTGTGATTTTGTTCACCCCGTTTGAAGCTAAACTCCTGTGCTTTTTATCGAAAATTTATGAAATTTTACAGGAAGGTTTGCTTATTAGGGGGATCGATGCTGTTAACTTTTGATGGTTAAAGATCGACGGGTGGGAGATAATGTGAGTCGTGCTTATCTCCAGTAGGATCGGATTTAATGGCGCTTTTACTCATTAGCATTTACAACTTTTTATAAAACCCATCCCTACTCTCAAAATGAAGCATTTTGCCATTTTATAATAGTTAAAAAATATAAAAAGTTTTTTTTTAATAAAATATGATAACAGGTAGCAACACCAAAATTTTAAATGTTGCCAGAAAAGTTAAGCAACTCGTTTCTGGTTTATTTCTTTATTTTTAAATGTACATAAGTACAAATATATTTTGCCAAATTTGCAGAATATTTTAAATTTTCGGCATTCATGTGTTAAATTTGCGAGAAGAACCGGTGTCGAAATAA